GGGCATGGCTCCAGCCAGGCATGGGCGTGTCTTCAACCTGAAATGCCACGGCATACCTGGACATGCCTGATGGTACACCAGTGTGCCGTGGCACACAGGTTGGGAAACGCTGATCTAGCCTACCTGTCTCATGATCACTGCTAAAAAGAACCGTAGCAGGTTTTATATATTTTCAAGTCATTTCACTTAACATCAGAGGTTTACAAACAATGAAGTGTGGGTGGTAATTACAAATAAGTAACTAGCACTTTGAACCTGTGTCTTGGGTCAGGGGTGAGCTGCATCTGTGATCTCTCCTCCAGTCTCTCAGATGCTCTCTCTAAGTGGCAGGGCTCTGCCTGTACTCTTCCTTGAATAGAACTCCATGGTTCACACATTTCAGGCTGTTGACAAGCTGCTTTAGGCAAGCTTGAGCCCTATTCCCACTGTCCTGCCACAGTTATGGGGTCAGTCGTGTTTTGTATATTTTTGCTGTCCCTTGGGAACACACTTCTCAGGCAACTGGTACTGCTAACTACAATTTACTTTGGGTGGATCTCCCTTGTTCCACCACTCTTAAACTACCAGTAGATAGCAGTCACCCTATTTCCAGCCTTATTAGTTCAACAGGTTGTAGTTCAATGAGCTGCAACTGCATCCCAGAAGACACTCCTCCAGGTGTCTATGCTGAATGGCTGATGGGACTGACTTAGTAAAGAGGGAAAACATGTTGTCTGTTCTTTCAAAAGTGCATGGCAAGCAAGCTATAACACAGCGGAGGGCAATTATTTTGGGTGGAGGGCCGCTTACCCAGTTTTAGTAAGCTGTTGAGGGCCACATGGGTACCCAGTTTTAGCAAGCTGTCGATGGCCCCTTGACAGGTGCCCCACCCCCTGGTCACCATCTTGGGACCAATGTCCCAGGGCCAGCGCCAGCAGGGCCCAGAGTGGGGTGCAGGCTGGCAGGGGTCTGTGGAGCCGGGCTGGGCTGCACCAGCAGAGAGAGGGGGGAGCTGGCCCAGCTCCATAGAGCCCCTGCCACCTGGGACCCTGTACCCTGCTGCCCTGCTCTGGGCCCTGCCGGTACTGGCCCTCGCCCCTGTGTTGTGCGCCGTCCCGGTACTGGCCCTGGGACACCAGTGTGGGCCCCACACTTCCACTCACTCCCAGTGCCCCCCAGCCCCACAGTACATGCAGGGGGCACCACACAGCCCCAACCCCCTGCTTGCTGGCAGGGCATGAGCTGGTGCTGAGCAACGGGAAAAGCAACCCCTCGCCCGCCCCATGGCTGTCGCTTCCTGCTGCAGCCACTCGCAGCCCACGTGGGGCTGTCCTGAGCAAGCACAGTCAGCCCCACGCAGGCTGTGAGCGGATGCAGGGTGGGGGGCCAGCCCCCCCCCCACTGCCAGTCTGGGCTCCGTGCCAGCTCCGGGCTCACCCATCGGGGCAGCATTTGTCACTGCCACCTCTGGGCTGCCCAGTGCATGAGCTCTGACTGCATGGAGCAGCAGCAGGGCCCCACCCCCCCGCGCTCAGATTTTCCCCAGGTCCCCCCCTACCCCTGATGGGGCTTCTGGCTGGGCGGGTGTGCCCTGCTGTTGCAGGAGCCTGTTGGGGCTTCCCCTGGGTCCTACTGCCCTGACAGGAACCAAGGACAGCTTAATATTAATTTTCTAAATTTTTTAGGGTCCCCATGGGCCGGATAGAATGACCTTGTGGGCCTGATGCAGCCCGTGGGCTATATTTTGCCCACCCCTGATATAATAGGTCTGCATGGCTAGGTCTTGCCTGCCTCTTACTATCTCGAAGCTTAGGTGACAATATGTGTTGCAAGCACATCTTGCAAAGCCCTGCTTTAGTTCTTCAGCCCTGCTGCTTGCTCTACCTAAATCAGTGCCTCTCCCTAAGAAATTATTGTCCTCTTCTTCTTTTAACCTGGGTTTTTTTTAATGACTTAGTGTTCTATGACCTCAGTATCTGGCCTTGGAAACAATCACCCTTCTAGTGATATGCAGGTAGAGAGTTCCTTAATGCCTGGTTCAGCCATTGTTAATGCAGAAGGAAGTGACAATTTTCACCCAATATGGCTACAGAAAGTGGTCTATAGCAGTGAACGAGGACAAATGCATGGCTGCAGACTGCTTAAAAATGACTGATTGGGTGAAAATTTGCATAAGGGTTCAGAGGAAGATGTTTCAAAACAGAGCATCTTTTGTGATTTCTGTCTGTGCTGCCTCCCAGCTTACTACTGTTTTCAGAACGAAAGGGGGAAAAGGGAGCAGAGAGAGTTCAGTCTGGGCTTTTTCAGCCCTCTCTGAAGGGTGGGGTGGGTGTACTGGAGCCTTACCCAGGTTGGGGTGATCCAATTAACCCACCCCATTTGCCAGTGCCAGCTTGGGAACCCCTACAACCCCCTTTTCTAGACTCCCTTTTCTCCACTCCCATTCTGAAAACAGCCTAGGCTGGCAGGGAGGAGGGGCCCTTGCTAGGGCTGATTGGCTGCAGGCTGGCAGCCAGCAGCTACAGTAGATTCCTCTACTCCCTGGAACCACCAGTGAAACCTCTGCTTTGTCTGGGGTATCGTTGTAACTCAGAATGCTGTTACCAAGTGTTTTCTGCAAAGTGTTTTCAGTTACAGCAGGGAGCTGCCCTTCTGTCTGTATCCTTAGGGACCTTTGGTGTTCTCCTTGGAGGTGTTTTTATCTCTGCTCATGTCATTACTTTTACAAGTCTCATCACTTTTAACTACATCCAGTTCACCATAATAATATCAATTAGGAAAACTGAGGCACTTGTAATATTCTTACAAACTAATACTAATACTTTTTTGTTCCCCATAGCATATATAGGCAACTGCTTTAATTTTTACCAAAGTAAGTATACACACAATTGAACAGTGGCATTGCTTGCCCTAATATCTTTTCAGTTATCTCTTCCAGATTAGTAAAGTTCAGCCACTGATGAGTAAATCTTATATAAAACATACTTGCAAAGTTTTGTAACTGGATACTTCCTTTGCTTGCTTTTTCTTTCACCATAGCTGGTCCCTAGGGAGAAGCAATGTCAGCTATAAGTCTTGAGAACTAGGAGGAAGATGTGGCTGTCCTATTCCCATTCTCTTTTTGTATTAAGTTAGTAGTTTGAAACATAGGAGTATGTCCCAATTTGAAAGTTTCTGCTAGTTCATATGTTTGCACAAAAGATGAGTCAGTGATCAACTTTCTGAAGATATATGGAAGTCATTCCTGCCTGGCAAAAGCTTTTCCTGTAAAGATTATAGCCAGTGTTATGTTATGTTTAAATTGTAGAAGCATTGATGGTAATAACTAGATTATTCTAGAAAAAGTCTCTTTATTTAGAATACACAAGAGGACAATCATTAATTACCAAAATAAAATGTAACTTTTATGAAATCAGGATACATGCAGATTTTGAGAGAGATCAAACAAAAACCACAATATAAAATTATCTGAAAGACTTATGAGGAGCTTGGTGTTGTGTTTGGTAGTGAAATGGAAAAGTAAAAATGCCTTTAATGGCTAAGAACAAAGAACAGGCTACCCTAAATTTAAAGCATATGAAAGAAGGATTCCTTCACTCCATGTTCAAAAAAATATCTTAAATAAACTTCCTAATGCCCCTGACCTTTCCTGTCAGAGCCAGCTCCCAGTTGACTAAACTTGTTCTTTTCCTGTCTGGAAAATGCTGATTTGTTAAAACTGGAGTGTTTTATTGTAATATGTCAGTTTCAATTTTTTTTTTTGGTCAGGATATTTTTTCAGGTCTGGGAGTGGACTTGTTGATCATCTTAGAGAGAAGAGGAGACTGAAACCCATCCCAGAAAAGCTTAGAAGACTGAAACCCATTCTAGAAAAGCTTAGAAGGCTACCCGATTGACTACAGCAATCACCTAGAGTGTGGTTAATCCAAGTTCACATCCCTACTCTACTGAATATGTAAATGATCTATATACAGTGAAATTGCTCCAAAAAGAAAGACGGAGAGACTCATCTCAGAGTAGAGACTCCCCTCACTCAAGCAGGCACCGGGGATGTTGGAGTCCTTTTTTCTAAGGACTTGGGACTGTCTCCCACCTCCCTGGTGCAAGCCCTAACTTCTGAACAACTGTTTTGAAGTGGATTGTGCTCCCATTTTCCATAAAAAGACTTTAAACAAAGGGTACAGTTCTACCCAATGCAGAATGTGAAAAAAAAATTGAAATCTCAACCACTTTTACAAGATGGAAAGACCATTTCTCACCCAGGTCTACAGTTTATCAGAGCACATCCCTCTTACTGTGCATTGCATATGGTCAATTCCTCATTTCTACATTCATGGTATGGAACTGTGATGATTTCTATGGCAAGAAGGAAAAGGATGCTCTTTCTATGCCAGCCTCTCATAGGGGATTTATACCTAATCAAAGTATTAATAAGCCCTCTTTAATATTTACCACACTTATCCAGCAACTGCCTACAGTTCTACTCTTTCATTTTTCAGATAGCATCTGCAGGTTATAAGCAGGTTTCCTCAACTTAACAGGAAAGTTGCTGTTACTCATCACCAAGATTAACAGGGTACTTCAAGGTTTTGCAGCACTGAGACATGATGCACAAAGACCAGATTGGAATTTAACATTGTCACCACTTGAGAACTAGGGTCCGATCACAGGGACCATGATAATGAGGATAATTTTTATTCAGTCATTGCTTTGACATTCTTGGAGTTTCAGCAGTCTTATTGTGATCCGCACTGGAAAAGATAATTGGACTTGATTCTGTCTATCCCTTTGTGGGGAGATGTGGGAGGCATGTGTGTGTAGAAGATGCAAAGAGCATTGAGACTTTTGCCTCCCCTTTTCTTGCCTTACCCTTTTGAAGAATGGAGCTGTTGTTTTCCGCTAGTGCCCCTGCTGGCACTAGCTGCTAGCAAAGTGGCAAGGAGTTGAGTGGAAAATGTTGTAGTCCAGCCTCAGAGCATGGGAAAAATTCTGGCTGACTCTCTTTTCTCTCTCTGTTGAGCATGCCTGCTGCAAGATGCCTCTTTGCAGCCTCCTCGAATGTGAGCCACAGTTTAGGAGCTAGAACAAGAGTTCACAAAGTTTTTGGGCAGAGTGCAAAAAACACCCACAACTTTGACTTGGAAGATCTTGGTGTGCCAGGCCAGACAGCAGGGAGCCATGAGGGGCCTCATATTTGTTGTTGCAAAGCAGCCCCAGCTCCTTCCTTGCCATCCGCCCAAAGGTATGCATGTCAAGAAAAATGCTTTTGTGTGCCATGTTCTGGCACCCATGTTTGGGGTTGCCTACCCTTGTGCTAGAATTTTATCCTATGTAATTTAAGCCATATGCACTTGTACATGGGCAGTTCTAGAATTTTGAAAAGTGGGGTGCAGATGGTGAGGTACATCATCACATATAACACTACACACATTTTTCTTCAGAAAGAAAGAGAAGCTTTATGTAAGGGGGGCTGGGTCATGCCACCTGAAGCCAAGTTGTGTCTCTGCTGTAATAGTAGTGTTCTGTTCTTCGAAAATTCTTCTGCCACACCTTGATGTTAGAGAGCGAGGTACCAAACACTTTGAGACAAAAAGCTCAGTCAAAGGCTCAGGAGGTTGGCTTATCTTCACAGGGCTCCACCATCCTCATACTCTGCCCTAACCACATCATATGTTCCAGGTTTGTTGCTGCTTGCCTACTGGACTGAGGGTCCAGTCTTAGTCCTGTGAACACTGTTGCAATTAAAATGGGGTGCTTAGTGTTTAGGAAGATTGACACAACACTTCTATGGATAGTCAGCAGAAAGGCTTTATTAATTAAACAACGAGCTATATAGGAAAATGACAGGTAGGCTACTGCAATCTACATACAACATCTATAATTAAGTCCAGTATATTTCTCGCCGTAATAGTGGTTCTCACCAGCACGGGCAAGGAAGTGGTCCTGATCTTTGCAGCTTCTCATCAGGCGTGGATCCATCACTGAGGGTGGTCAGCTGGGCACAGGTTATGATGGGTCAGTGTGGTGTTTCCCTTCTGAGATGAGCCCACTTTGCTGGCAGCTTCATCCTTCTCTTATACTCATTCTTCAAAGCATATTTTTCTTGATGGGTTGAAGATCAGGGTCTAGATAGTGCTGACAGTGTGGAGGTCATTATCCTTTGGTTGTGTCATAAATGTTAGCCTTTTGGATCCATTTCTGATTGCTGTGGGTGAAACTGACATGCACAAAAAGCCTTGATCGCTCTGGAGGTTCATCATTTGCTTAACTATAATATGGCTTGATTGCTCGAGCCCAACACCCTAAACCAGAGATATACTACTTGATTTAATTGCAGTAGGACTTGATTACTTGAATTGAGCACCTTAGACCCTGAATTGTAAGGCACTATATAGGTTGTTGTGATAACAGGGCAGAACCCAAAATATTTCTTTACTGGCACAGACACCTAGATTGGTGAGGGATCTGATAACAATGGAGAGGCAGTCACTTTGAAAGGGGAACTTATTCATAATCAATTTAGTTGGGCATGGGGCTAACTTGATACCAGAGCCAGAGATGAGATTACCTGTATTGTTATGTTTCAGGTGGTCCCATTCATGAGTTTATATTCTTGTGAAAAAGGGCACTGATATTATAATTTAGTCATTTGAATTTTGCACATAGGTCCAGACAAGTTCTGTGTCCAGCAAACCCCCTAGTTGGGATCTTCTTTTAAGTTGGCTGCTTGCCCCATTCTTCCCCTTACAGGCCCCAAGACAGCCACCTCTCAGTTCTAATCCCACCCTTACCTTCAGGGTTCGGATGAATTTACCCCTCCTAGCATGTAATCTTGTCTATGTCTCTTTTCTCTTCTAGGGTCCCAAAACAGTTATCTCCACTCCTTGGAACTGGACTCACTGACAGAGTGGTCTTCTCCGTTGCTTTGCTGGCTCTTCCCAAGCAATTTCAGGGACTGAGTCTTTCCTCCAAGCCCTGGGATTGGTTCCTCCTCTTGTCTTCTCTATCTGCACCTTGCTCCCCTTTTCTCCAGACCGACCACGGACGCTCCCTTGGCATCCCTTTAAATTCCCTTTCTCCTCTGCTGTGTCCCCCGTGGCAGCGTCTGATTCACTGTCTTCCTTTTCCTTTTTCAGCACAGTTTCTCTATTCTTCGTATGCCACACTGTTTTCCTTGTCCCAGGCTCAAACTCTGGCAGCTGGGCTTGCCACCTTTGAACTGCCATGGTCCCAGGTGGTACCTTTAATTAGTAGTGGCATGGCATCTTTCCTGCCTCAGCTTGGCGCAGTTTCTTCAGCATCCCCGGGTAAGTTTTGTTTCTTTGTATTCTTCCTCACTTTCCCATGGCAGAGTGTCTTGGCCACTCTGTCACACTTTACTAATATTGTAGGGGCCTATAGCTGTATTATTCTGTTTAAGATGGAAGCAAAATAAATATAACTTCATTGGAAAGACTTAAAAGTAATCTGCAAGGCTGTAAAATAGGAGATAGCAGAATTGCACAACAAAGGATAGCTTGATTAGTGAAACCTCACAATCATTAAAAATAATGGTCACTAACACCTGTGGAATGAAGAGTTTGGAAGGGATAAGGTAGATTATAATGAGCCCTGAAGTTAAGTGACTCCCTGAGTACTGCTTGCCTAGAAATACTGCTGCCATTGCCAGGCGATTGGTTTTAAAGTTTGGGTGGAGCAGGAATCAAAGTGGGTACTAGTGCCCTGTCCACCCCTGGATTCTTCACCTGCACAAAAGCACATAATAAAAATGCTTAAAAAATATGGCCCAAACCCTGGAGAGGAGCTCAGTTTAACACAGTCTTTATTCAGGAAAACTGCTAAAGTCAGTATCATTCTTAAGGAGCTAGCTTTTAAAAGAGAATAGGGGAAAATTATCTCCAATATAATGCTACATCATGTAGTATTATATAAAAAATGAATATTGCATACTGCATTGACATGTCTGCCTTCATTCATTAAGTCTCAGTACAGTAAATGTCTAATTTTCAGCAATACCGAATGACCACAAAATAAAGTGAAACCAAAAGGAGCCAGGGAGAATGTAAGGAACGATTGAGCACCTCTAAAACTTACACTGTAAAAATCCTTTTGAGCAACTTTGAGAGAGGAAATAATAAGTATGGTGAACAGAAAAAAAGATATGATGCATCTTTTCTGCATATACTTAGCGATCCTTTGTTTGTTTTCAGAAATGGTGTTTTGACATCTTTTCATATGTATGAAAATCTTGAAATCCATGATGTTGGAAATGATCATGCAATATCCTTCAGGAGTGTAAATAATGCCCTTGGATTATTATTTTTATAGATGTGTGTTTCTAGAATTCATACTTTGTTCGGTGTGCATAGTTCAATAAACAAGTGGTGATACTGTGTTTGATTAAGGATATGGTGGGTGGAGAGTAATACTGGAAAAAAAAAAAAAAAGAATTTTATAGCTCTTTTGCCCTTTTAATGTATAAAAAAAAGCTATTGGGAAAATAAATTTAAACTTGTGACTAATTCTCTCTTTCTTACTCAGAATCAAATCCTGCCCTTGGTTGAATGCATATAGATAGCTGCCATTGGAGTTTCTGGGGGCTGCACACAGGCATGAGAGGTAAAAGTTTATCTTGAATTTTTCACTCATGGGCTGTCCACCATTCTTTTGAGATTGGTTTCAACAGGGAAGGACAATGAGACTGTGCATGTGAATCAAAGATTTGCCTCCATCCTTGCTAAGTCAAACTTCTCACTTACAACCTGCTGTGGTGGAGGAGCCTACTTGTGGCTGGTCACCATATTGGCCACACCTCCGTCTAGGGCAGTTTACCCAGTCTCACCTGCCATGACTTGTTGAGATATACAAGATAATAAGCAGGAGGCTACCCATTTTAATGTCCCGATGCCAAGGGGTTTATACACAACTCCAACCTCCCATTACTGTGTTTCATGCATGCAGATGGCATCCAAAATTATAGTTGCTCCCAACAGAAGCCAGGGCAAACTCTGCCCCTTGCTGGGTCTCTCACAGCGTTCTCATTTACGCTACACCCTCTCACAGGCCCTCATTTGCTCAGCCCCCTCTCACAGGGCCTCTTTCATACTGCCCCTCACTGGGCCACTCTCAATCCACCCTGCTCCTCTGAATGGCCTTGGGCCATCAGTCTTGCTGACATATACATGTAGGCCCAGAGTGTATGTAGACTTGCCTATATACACTCTCTCACAGCCCTTCAGGTGCCTCTCTTATGCCTAACACTAGACTGACTTTAGCCACAAGCACCTCTCTGGGCACTTGGTTCTTCTTGCCCCCCTTCCTGGGGCCCCTCTCTCACTCCTCACTGGGGCCAATTCTATGCCCCCTTCCTGGGCTTGGGATCTTATACACCCAGGGACTCAGGTACTTTTCTCTTGGTGTACCTGGTCCCACTGTCTGATCTATAACTCACTGGATAGCGGGGGCTAGAGTTATAAGGTGCCCCTACCTGCCTTTCACTGGGGAGGCAACTGGCTTGGCATTTTTGGGGAGCTACCCCACCACAGGCATCCCCACCAGGCCATCATTCCCCAGCAGGGTGCAGTTTCAAGTCATACCCAGGACCAGGAGCCTCCTGCCATCCCCATAGCTCCTGCCCTTACCTCCAAGGTATTCCCGAGCAGCTGCTCAGCCAGATGTTGTTCTGCCAGCTACCAGCAGCAGACTACTGGCTCAGCCCTGAGGGCCTGAGCTAAAATGGAATCTGCTCAGCTCTGTTCTCCAATCACAGGGAAGGTCATGTGACCACCTCATCAGGGCTGGCCTGCACCTGCTGGTTGCCCTGCTGTCACTCAAAGCCCTTAAAGTGACAGGTACCAAAGGTGCTCTGTCACACCTGCTTCTCATTTTAAGATGCCCAATGTGATACTAGGGACAGGGTGACAATGGTGTATGTATTTATATAAAAATGTACCTAGTGCTCATTAAAAGCCATGATAACATTTTCGCCCAGATTCTTCTGCTTTGCAAATTTGCATTCTATGCAGGTACAAAGTGGCTGGAAAACCAGCCAGTACAGGAGCATGAAGTTACCGTAATGCCACCTCCTTCCTACTGCTTGGTAAAAAGTGTATTCTCAGTGTTTCCCTGCATCTCAAGGATCTCTAGGTGTCATGATACCCCACTGGGCAGCCCTTCAGATGCTCTTACTCCAGGAAACCAGTATGGCAAAGAGCTGGCCCAGGAGTGAAGGTGTGCCATGTTGGTTTATTTGTGCTCTCTCTGTGTGAGAGCTCTCCTTGACTGCTGTCAATCTGCTCTCCACCACGAGCAGATTATAAAAAGGGCATGTTTCCCCTTGTGTTTTCAAGACTTTGAAAATTAGGATATTTGGGTAAAGTGCTATTTCAGTGGAAAACAACCATTTTGGGTTGGTGTATAACCATCAAAAGTTTTCCTATGTTTCATCAAGTGCTCAATTGCCATAAGCGTGCTGTCTGGAGACAGAAATTGCTGCATGGTTATGTAAGGTTCTTTGGGTAGATGTGATATCTTTTATTAGACCAAGTGTGTAATAAAAGATATCACATCTGCCCAAAGAACCTTGCCTGCCTATGTCCTTAGACTAACATGGTTTCAACTAAAAACCCTGATGCATGTTACAGTGCACCAGTCACTTACTGAAGAACTGCTGCTGAAGATCCTAAGGTGGCTCTTGTGCAGTGGGGGCAGGGGGTGTTAAAAGGTTGTATGAAGCCTGAAGTAATTACTAGGAGGGAGAGACATTATCGGACTGCAAGGACTGGTAGCTTCAAATATAGCACAAATAAACTGCTTAGTGTCAATTAACATTTTAACAGGGCTCTGTAAATGAGAAGTGCTATATCAATGTTGGGTATTATTAATGTGTGTGTGTTTATATCCACATTAAACTGGACTTAGACTAATATGTGTGTTTTGCATGCATCATATGACTCATGATAGAACTTAATAAACATCAAGCTGCTATCACCACACTTTTGCATCCTGTGGAGTTCCTTTTAGTCTTATGGATTTGGTACCCAAACCCAAGAAACTTGATTTTAAAGTAAACAATACCCAGCAGATAAAGCTATCTCAAAACAAAAAGCCTCCAGACATCCCTTCTTCCTAAATACTCCAGCTCCCCCGCAGATTCTATGAGCAGAAGATTTAAATTGTAGGCATTAGAGTGTGCACTTGATGGTAGTCATGGTTTTTGTGCCATACATATTTTAATTAAATAACAATAAAAGAAAGAATAATGAAAATAATATTCAATAATCAAGGTGTTACTGAAAAAGTTTGACAATATTAAAGACCTGATTATGACACCGGCCTTGGGACTTCTTAGCTGGTGAAACAATCCCTAAGCTAACCCCATTTTGACACTATTAAATGGGTCTCTCCTGCTATCATTTTAGAGTTTTAGACTAATCATTAACACCTTCACTAGTAAAGGTAACCCCTGTGGACAAAGGATGGTAGACAGGGCTGTACTCCATCTCTTAGATCTTGTCTACAGAGGGAAATTGACCAGCATAGCTAGTGCAGAATAATCATTCCATTGTAATGTTGTTGGCTAGTTTTCCCCTGTAGACAAGCCCCAAATTATGAGCTAGTACAGTGACTGGTGCAACTTGTTCCCTAACCTCTAGGTATTAAAACAATATTATCACAATCAATATAATCATCCAGCTTTTTTCAACAAAAAAATGGTCATGACAAGATGCCTTTGAGGGTAGAAAGCCAAGTAATCTTTGGGGGGTAGGGAAATTCTCAGAGCTCCAAAATAGATTTGGGGTGAACAAAGGGGAAAAGGGTACACAACATATCTACAGATTGATTCCACGTGAAGCCTAAGCCTCTTAGTACTGCATTTTTCTGCAGTCTCAGCCTCTCTTTTTTGCTATGTTTCTGGTCATAGTGTGAATGACATGCACTTGATATTTCTATTTAAGATTTTATAAGAACCTTGCTGCCATGCTTGAGAAGCCACTCCTCTTCTATACAAACACTAGAGACCAATTCAGCCCTTGGAATTTCCATTTTAGTCTATGATCAAATCAGTATTGAAGATGATAGGCCTGATATCCCGTAATGTTGATGGGCCTTATGTCCTATGATGAGGTGTTCTCCCTTTAAAATTAGGGGATTTTAGGAGATGTCCTTATAATATGACATAAGGACATAGGGGAAATTAATTTGCAACAGGAAATCAAGGAAACACTTGCAAAAATGTCAGAGTTCAGAAACATTCACTGTGGTTGATTTATATTTGCTCTTTTTTCTTGTGTCTAATAGTCTAGAATATAATTTGATACCTATTGGGATGTTTCACTTGCTAAATTCTGAACTCTGAATTAATTTGCATAATCCACTTATGCATCCAGGAGTAGAACTGAACTGTTTGTATCAAACTGAATTCTATATAGAAAAATGTCTTTGTAATTATATGTTAAAATATTCATTTGGTATTGGCTACTGCTATCAAGCTTGGCAGTATCTTTACCTGGACAACCTGGGGATGTCCCCAGAAGTGGAAATATGTGTTTCCCCAGGGATGAACAGCAGCACACAATGTGCTGCTGCTACTTGTTTCTGGGGAACACCCATGCCATGCATGCTCTGGTTCATGGCATGTTGCCCTGGGTGGGGTAGGGGAGGCTAGGGCCAGCAACTGTGCTGGCCCCAGCAGCCTTACATAGGGTCCTGGGGGCCTCTGGGAGCTGTGGCCATGGAGATCCTGCAGCAAGGAGTCAGACTGGCAGCCAGGGTATGGTTCTGGCCAGCCAGTTTCCAGTTTTGGATGGTACGTATTGCCACTGTGTATGCCGCCCCACTTTTTTTAGGCTCATGTTTTTTTGACCCCAGGATATCCTGGGGTCAAAAACCACCCCCTGCATTGCAAATTAGCAGTGTGGAGAACACCTGTATGTGCAGCATGTGTGGGGTATGGCACCACAGATGGGTCTGCGGTGCCACATACCACATGTCCACGCTCATTTGGATGCACTCCCTGTGTCCAACGTTTTTTATTCTTAGCCTTTCCCATCATTTATGGTGGTGAGTAGACTTGAATAATCAGTACCCAGCAACTTAATATCTCAATGTTCGCATAGAAAGATATCCCATTTCCCATGACTCTTTCAAGCTTTTGTAATTTTGTTATCATTTACTTTACTTCTCTGATTGGGAAATCTAGCTTCCATTAGCATTTTAAAACAATCACCCATGTACCACATCTCTGATTCAGAGCTTCACATTCTTTTGTCTCAGATTACTTGCTAGGTCTATTTTTGGGCTATTGCTATAATTAGGAGGCTTGCACTTTAATACAAGGAGCTTCGTTTTAATAATACAGCGCAATGTTTTAAGTTGATGACATGTACTTTGAAAATTACTTTGCAAACATTCATAAAGCTATATATTTGTTCACAAATATGTTATAGTTTTTCACAGCATAGACGATTTAAGAATGCGCCCTGTAAGACTTATGATATATTGTTGCTTTATCTGGACCTGGCAACAGACTGAGGTCATCCTGACACCGAGTGAGTCATTTTTA